GCAGCGGCTTTCACATTCTTCGACAGTTCTGAAGTTGTTGTCATTGCCGCCACAGCCTCCGTAGGTAAACACCTCACAGCCACCGATTCCGCTGTTATAGAACCACTTCCGCATCCTTCCTCGACAGCGACCCGTCTCCGAAGGAAGCTGACAGATATCTAGCGTTCCTATGGGAACCACGGCGGCTCCCGTATCAACTGGCTGCGGATCCTTGAGGCAGCACACTGCGTAGGCATCAACCGGCGATGTGTTACAGAAGTGAGTATCGGGGCATTCCTGACTGAAAGGACTCAGACCACAGTCGACTTCTTGACCGGTGCTTTCATCCACAAGCGGACGCCCCGACGAGCAAAGCTGTTCCATATCCACCGAGAAGAAAGTTGAGAAAGAAGGACCGTCGGGCAAGACACGCCGTGCTGGTGATCGTTGCGGAGGTGCTGCATCTGTGTACGAAGCGATTTCACATACAAATTCCATACACTATCAACATCGCTTCCGATATACGTGCAACTGTGCTTACAAGTTTGAGCTATCAATTTGTAAATAAATTTTTCGTTTGCAAATTCAAATTGTACATTATATATACGTGTAAATGTGTGAATCATGGCTGTATGGTAGGTATCATGACCGTCTAGACTTCTGTCAGATAATACTATGTATTGGCACATTTACGAGTATGCACGTGCACGACTGTCACGAGAATGATGACTGTTGACTTGTACTACCCGATACAAGACGCTCAGAGAAAGTAAATCGATGCGGAATCAGTCTCTTAACATACTAAATTACTAAATTAAATTACTAAATCACAAAATTACATTACCTTGCACAGTTGCTGGACAACAGACGGATGGTGCGTCAGCCAGCTCGAAGTTGCAGGCATACCCACGAGGGCATGCTAAACCTCGTGGACTACATGGCGTAAATTCACCGTCAGCATCTTTCAATGGAGACCCCTCCTTGCAGGGATTGAATGGCTCTGGCCGCTCTACAACATGACAATAATGAACATTCGTAAGCACTTAAAAATGAGAGGCAACAGCTGAAATGTGTGTTGCACGATACCACATATAATACCAGGCCCGTAGCCAGCTTTGTATTGGGGGGGTTCGTTTTTCCAATGTGGCAACTTTGCTCCGGCAGGGGCGTGTACAGGATTTGTACCAGGGGGGGGGGGTCTAACCGTAGCCCGAAGTTGCGAGGACGCGAAGGGGGGGTCTCTCAAATTTTTAAAATTACACCCCTCAGATGCGTTTTCTGCGCAAGCAAGGTTGGGGTCCGAACTCCCTGGACCCCCCCTGTACCGCCCCTGCTCGGGCGCGAAGCGACCAGGCCGAGGGAGCCAAGCGACCGAGCGGGGGGGAGGGTGCGGGAGGGGGTGTTCACTGTTCACGCTCCCCGCACGATGGAGATTTTGCCAATTATTACACTTAAAATAGAGCGATCTGAGGTGAAATTCTTGCGCAAATTTAAAAAAAAAAAAATTTTGCTTGGGGCCGGGGGGGGTTCGTTCGAACCCCCCGAACCCCCCTGGCTACGGGCCTGTAATACACACAGGTATGCACTATGTATTTGCGCAATATCTGAACGGTTTGATGCATCACGTCGTGTCTGCGAAAGGAATATCTGTACGCGCCAGCAAAAATGAATTCATCCGCAATATACCACGATACTGATGCAGCAGCAGCCACGTGAGTACAGATGAGGAAACAGTCACAGACGACAGTAAGGGAGAGGTAGCATACGCCATCGACACACAACAGCCAATAATGACTTCGATTTATCACAACAAATGCCGGCAACGTGAACGACCACAACATTCCCATATAGAGTCCATATAGGCTACAATCTACGTAGCGGCAAGCAAACATTCACATATAGTTTCTAATAAGTAATTAATGTATAATCTAATAATAGTAAAGATATTATTAAACAAATATAGGTAATAATTCCATATAGGTAATAATAACATAGTGGCAAGCAAACATTAACAAAGCAATAGAGCGAAGATCTACCTGATTTCTCTTATTGGCTTCGATACAGATTTTTGCAGTCGCCGACATGAGCGTGGGACCTTCGCGCGCACATCAACCTTGGTTGGCAGTCACTGTCACTGAGCAAGACGTCCCGGGGCAGAAGAACAGCAGCGACAGGTCGGGGCAGATTAATGCGATCAGCCACGACAGCTATTTAAAGAAAATTATATAAAAATATTAAAACGTATCGATTTTAATGCCGGCGTCCGGTCTTTATTCGCCTTCTCCCACATCTCTTTCTCTCTCTCAAACACACACACACAACCACACATCACACACACACACACACACACACACACACACACACACACACACACACACACACACCTATGCCACACACACGCACACACACGCACACGTACGCACACACACGCCACACGCCAACCACGCACACACAATATACACTCACTTTCCCATCTCTCCCTCTTTCTCACTATTCTGCGCTCCCCTCCTCTCTCTCCGCGCTCTCTCTCTCTCTCTCTCTCTCTCTCTCTCTCTCTCTCTCTCTCTCTCTCTTTCTCTCTCTTCTCTCTCTCTCTCTCTCTCTCTCTCTATATATATATATATATATATATATATTATATATATATAAATCCCTCTCTCATTCTGTCTCTGACTATCTGCCTCCATTTCCCCCCCCCTCTCTCTCTATCTTACTACTTCCCTCACTCTTTCTCGTATGTGCATGTCGGAAGTAACGCGTGCGCAGGGGCAGCAACTCGTAATTAAACAAATCCAATAATTTTACAAATAAATAATCGATGCGAACAAAGACACGCGAAATAGATGTAAAATATCTGACCGCGTAGGTATATACGCACGCACACACCCTTATCTGTACAACATATGCCCCCTAGACGTCCTGACTGACACCTGTAACCACGCGGGCAACTTCCATCGGCTCTACAAGCTTCATTGGCTCCCGATCGATCGAGTAGAGCGGACCCTGTCTTACACACTTCCACTACCACTAGCGGAGTCGCTGTAAGGAACATGAAGGGGGTATATGATTGCAATTGACGATATCAATTAAAGAATTAAAATACAAGTTTATAAGTATAGTAGTATCTATGAATCCTGAACCTCCAGTCGAAGTCGTACGTCGATGGATTTCGTTCAATGGTGCAGCGATTGCAACATTACCCATTCTATTCTCCACAACCCACGATCCACCCCCTAGCGCAAAGGTTTGTTAGCAAGCGTTCAAATTGTGAGCGAGTAATGGGATATTGGAGAAAGGTTAGTCAGAGGATGATATAACCATGGAATTCGCCGGACATGGTGAAAAAAAAACACGGATATGTGACATTGGCAAAAGATGTGGAGATTTATTCGGATTGTTCGTGGAGGCCAAGGAACAGCTGACACATCCTAATATGTGTTAAACAGATAATATGTATTAATATGTGTTATGTTAGATGAGCGAACAGATATTTCAAGCACATTGTTATGCGCGCTACGGCATTAGGAAATTACAGAAGAAACGTCCTACGTCCCTAATTCCATTACTACTACTACTACGACGACGACGACAACGACGATAACAATAATAATAATAGTAATACTAATAATAGCAATAATAACAACAACAGCAACAACAATAACAACAACAACAACAACAACAATAACAACAACAACAACAACAACAACAGCGACAACAGCAACGAGCGACAGCAGCAGCGGCGGCGTTAACGACGGATATTGCTATTACTTGTTATTTCTACAACTATTTGTGTTAGCTTAACTGAGACGGGTTGCAGGTTGTATAACCCCCATACATTGTCACAGTGATTGGAGGCAGGAATACAGCAGGCTGTTTTCTTTTCTATCCCACAACGGAGACAAAAGAAAATATTGCGGCTGATATCAATCTGATTCTTACACCGTATATTGACATGACTGTATTATGAGAACCACTATATGAGAACCATTATAGTGAATACCCATGTGTAATTTTTATTTGAGCCAAGTGTACATGATTCTTTATTGCCATTTTGATTCTATTTGTGGGGATTATGGGGACGATGCCATGACGTGCATGACCTGCAGAGTTTAGTCCCAAAGTCCAATGCATAGCGAAGCGATAGATGCGCCCTGATTAGTGCCAAGCAATTAACACGCATCCAATATCAATAATATAGCAACTGTCAATCAGTACATACCAGTCTCCGACTCCGCAAAACATTTATCTTGGCACTCCTTCTCTGAACGGAAATTGTTTTGGTTGCCTCGACAACCGCCATAGCTGAACAGCTCGCATTTATTTATATCTACGTTGAGGTACCATCTTCGGATCAAAGCTTCGCAAGGACCCGGCTGTTTAGGCTGCATGCAGATGCCATTAATAGTTGGACTTGCTATAAAACAACAACGATTGAATGCCTTTACATTGTGCCGCGTGCCTACAATATTTGGGGTATGGCTAATAAATGTTAGCTTCATAAAATGATAGTTAAATATATATGCTTAGAAATATTTGCAAATGAGACTATAATTGCATTACTTGGTAAAAGTGTAATGTTTTTTTCGATAAATTATGATGCGAGTACAAATATTTTCATGGCTTTTTTCTTCTCAACCTTATATTTCTAAAGTTCTTCATCTTCCCGCTACACTCGGGTTCTGCTCTCCCTTCCCTTTCTCTATTTACTCTACGTTTACCACCTTCTTTCCCCTCCTCTACCATCTCCACCTTGGCCTTCTCCGACACTGCTTCCATCTTCCTCCCCTGCGCAATCGTCAGCTTCTCCCCCCACCTCCTACATTTTACGTTTATCTACCCTTCCCCTACAATCCCCTCATGTATTCCTCCACCCGACATCTCTGCCTATCTCTACCGTATCCGTACACTCTCCTACCTCCTTTATCTCCCTTCCCCCTCTAATACCTTACTTACTTCTCTACCCGTTTAATACCTTACTTACTTCTCTACCCTTTTAATACCTTACTTACTTATATACCCCTTTAATACCTTACTTACTTATCTACCACTTTAATACCTTACTTACTATTCTACCCCATTAATACCTTACTTACTTCTCTACCCCTTTAATACCTTACTTACTTCTCTACCCCTTTAATACCTTACTTACTTATCTACCACTCTAATACCTTACTTACTTCTCTACCCCTCCACACTTACTCCGGCATTTACGATCACATAAATTCTACGCTCCTCTGCTATTTTTCCGCCTACTATCTTTCCTTTTTTCTACCTTACACTCACATTCTCTTTTGCCTCCTCCACTGTCTCCCATCCATTGTCCCTTTCCATTCACTATCTTCTGATACCCCTATTCCCTACTGTCATCCTTTACCCTCTTCCCTACTGTCTCCACATTCTTCCCTCTTCCCTACTGTCTCCACATTCTCCCCTCTTCCCTACTGTCTCCACATTCTCCCCTCTTCCCTACTGTCTCCACATTCTCCCCTCTTCCCTACTGTATCCACATTCTCCCCTCTTCCCTACTGTCTCCACATTCTCCCCTCTTCCCTACTGTCTCCACATTCTTCCCTCTTCCCTACTGTCTCCACATTCTCCCCTCTTCCCTACTGTCTCCACATTCTCTCCCTTTCTCCCTATCTGCTTGATCACTGTCTCTACATTCTCTCCCTCTCCCTGTATCACATTCTCCCTCTTCCCTACTGTCTTCCACTTTCTTTCCCTCTTCCCTTTCCCTACTGTCTCCACATTACTTTCTTCTCCTCTTTCCCTACTGTCTCCACTTCTCCCTCTTTCCTACTTTTGTCTTCACATTCTCCCCTCTTCCCTACTGTCTCCACATTCTCCCCTCTTCCCTACTGTCTCCACATTCTTCCCTCTTCCCTCTTCCCTACTGTCTCCACATTCTCCCCTCTTCCCTACTGTCTCCACATTCTCCCCTTTTCCCTACTGTCTCCACATTAACCATTCTTCCCTACTAGCTCTCCACATTCTCCCTCCTTTCCCTGTCTCCACATTTCTTTCCCCTCTTCCCTACTGTCTCCAACATTCTTCCCTTTCCCCTACTGTTCTCACATTCTTCCCTCTTCCCTACTGTCTCAACATTCTCCCCTCTTCCTACTGTCTCCACTTCTCCCCTATTTCCCTTACTGTCTCCAATTAAACCATTCTTCCCTACTGTCTCCACCATTAACCCATCTTCCCTACTGTCTCCACATTTCTTCCCTCTTCCCTACTGTCTCCACTTTCTCCCTATTCCCTCTGTCCTCCACATATAACCATTCTTTCCTACTGTCTCCACATTAACATTCTTCCCTACTGTCTCCACATTACCTTTTCCCTACCTGTCTCCACATCTCCCCTCTTCGCCTACTGTCTCCAACATTCTCCCCCTATTCCCTATCTGTCTCCACATTCAACCATTTTCTTCCTTACTGCTCTCCACATTCTCCCTATTCCCTACTCTCCACATTCTCCCCTCTTCCGCCTTACGTGTCTCCACATCTTCTCCCTCTTCCCTACTGTCTCCACATTCTCCCCTCTTCCATACTGTCTCCACATATCTTCCCTCTTCCCTTACTGTCTCCACATTCTCCTCCTCTTCACATACTGTTCTCAAACATTCTTCCTCTTCCCACTGTCTCCACATTCTCCCCTCTTCCCTACTGTCTCCACATTCTCCCCTACTTCCCTATGTCTCCTATTCTCCCCTATCCCTACTGTCTCCACATTAACCATTCTTCCCTACTGTCTCCACATTCTCCCCTCTTCCCTACTGTCTCCACATTCTTCCCTCTTCCCTACTGTCTCCACATTCTTCCCTCTTCCCTACTGTGACACTGTCTCCACATTCTCCCCTATTCCCTACTGTCTCCACATTCTCCCCTCTTCCCTACTGTCTCCACATTCTCCCCTCTTCTCTACTGTCTCCACATTCTCCCCTCTTCCCTACTGTCTCCACATTCTCCCCTTTTCCCTACTGTCTCCACATTAACCATTCTTCCCTACTGTCTCCACATTAAGCCTATCTTCCCTACTTCTCCACATTCTCCCCTCTTCCCTACTGTCTCCACATTCTCCCCTTTTCCCTACTGTCTCCACATTCTCCCCTTTTCCCTACTGTCTCCACATTCTCCCCTCTTCCCTACTGTCTCCACATTCTCCGCCTATTCCCTACTGTCTACCAATTTCTTTCCCTCTATCCCTACTGTTCCCATTCATCCCCTAATCCCTTACTGTCTCCACATTCTCCCCTTTTCCCTTACTGTCTCACATTCTCCCTCTTTCCCTTACTGCTGACACTGTCTTCCACATATCTCCCCTATCCCTACTGTCTCCACATTCTCCCTCTTCCAACTGTCTCACATTCTCCCCTCTCCCTACTGTCTCCCTTCTTCCCTCTTCCCTAACGCTCTCCACATTCTCCCCTCTTCCTACTGTTCTCCCATTCTCCCCTATTCACCTACTGTCTCCACATTCTTCCCCTTCTTCCCTACTGCTCTCCACATTCTTCCCTATCCT